TTGTGTTGAAAAACTGGTTTTTCTGGTTTTTGACACTTTTTACACTATACTTCCACCAGTGGAAGTTGTGTTGAAAAACTGGTTTTTCTGGTTTTTGACACTTATCTGGTTTTCTGAGTTCTTGAAGGTATTGGAAGGGAAAGGCTTGTGCTTTTGCTTAAGATCAATGTTTGAAAGGTGTTTGATGTTTGTAGTAGTTCAACAGGTTTGAGGTTGGCCTTTTGTATGTTTCTTTGGTGTTTTGGAGGCAGGGCTTATGCAGGTTGTGGTTAGGCTTCAAGCTTAGCAGTTTGTATCTTTCTTGTTTTTGTCTTGGTGAAAGTTCTGCCTTGTATATTTTCTTATGCCTCCTCCTCTTGAACTGTGTTGTTCTTCTTGTATATCTTTCTCTCTATCTCTGCCTGCCTAAGCCTGAAAACCTGCATCTTTTTGTCTTGATCAGAGTGTTATGTCCATGAATCTTGTGTCCAAAGATATGCATTGTACCATTTGATTTGCAAACTTGACATAAAGTTCTTCTTTTCAAAAATGGATAAACCACTTTTTCCAATTAAGGCTTAATTCCTTGTGTAATGACTATATGAACAAAACAAAGCTAAAACACAATGGATTGGCATTTAATTATTGAGTAAGAAAAGGATTAGAGGCCTGTAACTAGCTTGCCCATGCTGATTTGAAAAATTGCAAAGTGTATGAACATGTGCATGGCCATGAATCAAAGTGACTTTTGCTCATTTTTCAAAATTCGATTCTCCCTAACCATGAGGTTGTTTGAGAAGTTCTTAGACATTTTGGAAAGCTTGGAATGTGTACTACAATCCATCTTTGAAATGCAAATTGAAATTCCAAGTGGAAGTGTATGGAAAATGGCCTTGAAGTTAGGTAGAAAACCTTGTCAAAAAGGTCAAATTTTCACTAAGTTATGAATGGTTTAGTGCTCTTATTCAAAAAATTATAACTTGAGATGCAAGCCTCATTTGGGAAAACTTTGTGAATCAAAGTTGTAAATTATGCAACAAGCTACAACTTTCATGTTTTGACTTTTGTTTGAATCCAAATGAATCTTGGTGAAAAAGTGGGGCAAAGTTGGGAAAAAATTAGGGTTTTCCATAACTTAGAAAAATTCTAAGTTATGAAAACTTCCATTTCAAACCCTAATTTGCATTTCTTGGTTTCTTGGTGAACAAGTTTCATGATTTGGCATGTTTTGATGAAAAATGAATCTTGACTCTTGATTTTCAAGGTTTTTGTGATGAGAAAATGTTGGGGAAATGGGAGGGCAAATTTTGGGGTACAACAATATGCAGATCCAAAATTTGAATTATATGAATAGCTACACAATTAATTACTCTCCTCATAATTAACAAAAATGAATCGTCACACATAACAAAACTTCTCTTTCAAATTTTAAGACACCTTTTACGCAATACTTTACCTTATGTGCTTGCTTCTTGTGTTCAAAGAAATCCCATTCAAACACATTTCACTGGTAATTCAAAACTTACATTACTTATTGTGCCAAAGCCAACCAAGGTAATTCCAACCCAATCAACAACATTTATGACTTCCTTGAGATAAAAATGAAAAAGACTGACATAATTGCTAGTTCACAACCAAAATTTGGTTGAATGACAAAGACATATACTTAAGAAAATAAAATCCACCAATATCATCAAAGTCATTTTAAGGAATTGATATCTAGGAAGAAACTTTTGAGGTGTGTTTCTGATTTGGATTTGGAGAGGCTGAAACTACTTTTTGCTTGTGTTGAGATTTTTTTCAAATTTTAAAGCAAGATTAACCCGCAATACCTAATGTTCATCTTATTAAACTAGACACATCACTCATAATTCACCAAAAGACCTAAAGCTACCTTATGCTATACTTGGCACAAACTTCTTATTAGTGGAATCTTTTGCTAAGCTTTAATGACTTTGCACACTAGATAAATATACATATATTTCTTCATTATATAGTGTTACAATCTAAATATATTGAGATATTGAATTCCCGGGAAAATGCACTTTAGATTCACACCTCTTTTTCATTGAAACTCAGAAAAATACAGTGTAGATTTATAAAAAAAAATGCAATGAAAGAAAGTTGTTTGATGAAATGTCACAATTTTTTTTTGGTTTTTGGATAAATTTAGAGACAAAAAAAAATGATCTTAAAAGTGAAGTTCTAATTCGCATATACTTTGACATCCACTTCACTTACATAGTCTATCTCGTTAACTTTGGTTAAGAGATTAAACCGAAAGGACTATAATACCTTTTAAAAGAATTGAGAGGTCAAAACATTTTTTTAAAGTTAAGGGACAAAATTGAACATCAAACTAAAAATAAGGGACAAAAAAAGTATTAATCATATTAAATATTAATATCTCCTCTGAGTATCTGGTGTTTAATGTGGAAGTAGAATTTATCATTAATTTTCTTTGCCTTACTTTATTGCCATCTCTTGATAAATATGTATTTGATATGTTTAATGTTACTTAAATAAAAAAGAAAAATGAATTTATTAGACTTTGTTTAATGAGTTAGAAACTTTTATTAGAAATTATTATTTCTATTAGAAAATGCATTTTCTCTTTTCATTTTCAGTTGTAACTAATTCTATTAAATTGTAAAGTTAATTATAACAATTTTTAATTGGTGGTATTTATAATAACTAGTTTACTCTGGTGTAGTAGGTAATACAACTGATAGGTGTCAGTAGCTCTAGATCCAAATGTTTGATTAATCTAGCTGCAACTTATCTCTAATACCGCTCCCATAAACTAAAGAGGGACATGTCACCCCGAGTTTGTGCTTTAATTCAAGAAGTTTGGAGGAGGAAAGGGGCTTGGTGAGAACTTCTGCCAGTTGGTTAAAATCATGATTATGAAGACCGTTAATTTTCTTAGCAATAATGTTTTCCTTGACAAATAACAAGTCAATTTCCATATGCTTATCCAGAATGCATAATGGGGTTGTGAGTAAGCATAATTGCATATTGGTGTCACAAAGAATGTTTGGAGATAAAGTAGAGACTCCTAACTTATGAAGAAGTGTCTACAGTCATAAAAGATCGACAACAGCCTAAGCAAGGCTTCTGTATTTATCCTCAGTGCTAGACTTGGCCACTACCTGTAACTTTTTGGACCACCAGAAGATGAGGATGTGGACAAAGCAAATAATAGCTCTAAAGGTACTTCTTTTGCCACCAGAATCTAATGTCCAATCAACATCATAAAACACCTGCAAAGAAGGAGAAGTGGATAGGCTGCGAGGAGCAAGATGAAGGCCTAGCGTGATGGTGCCTTTGAGGTACCTAGGATCCTCTTAACTACAATCCAGTGAGTCTCAAGAGGACGAGACATGAACTGACAAACTTTGTTCACTGAATAAGCAATGCCAAGTCTTGTAATTGTGACATGTTGCAAAACTCCCACAACAGACCTGTACATGTAAGGGTTTGTCAGAGTTGGGGATCCAATTCTTGTAAGCTTTCAAGTAAACTGCATATGTGTATAGACATGACTGGAGTCACTCATATTTGTCTTATGCAAAAGATCTCTAATGTACTTGCCTTGAGTTAAGAGAAGAGAGCCACTTGTGGATTGTTTAACCTTAATACCTAGAAAATAGTCTAGATCTCTAAGGTGCTCGAGGGAGAAGGCGATGTTGAGCTTAGTGATAACATCTTGGAGAAGAGATTTAGAGATACCTATGATGATGATATCACCGACATATATCAAGAGATAGAAAATTTAAATTATCTATTACAAGTCAATTTAAAATGTCTTGAGATTATAGGTTTTGTGTACTACAAACTTCTTAGCAATTATTTATAGTAAATATTGATACTTGCTCTACTCTAAAAAAATTTAATTATGTCAGGTTAAATAATCTTAGTTGGTAGTTGTGTAGAGACGTCAGATGTAAGGTCGCAAATTCGAATTCACGATATTGCAGTTGTTCATTTTTAAAGAGTGAACTTTAGTCACTAAACTATATGACAAAAAAATAAAAAAATTTAATTTTTTTAATTAATTAAATAATAAATATATTTGATTTTAAATTATATTGTTTTCTAATAAGTTATAAAATTAATTTTATTAATAATAGTGATACAGGAAGTATGATTATATACAATAATTTACATGATTGGGACAATAAAGGACTTGCCGCACACATTTTTAACTAGTCAATAATAGTCACACTCGAGTAAGAATAAGGATGTCAATAGGGCGGGACGGGGGCGGAGGATACATTCCCATCTCAATTTTCGCTCTCAAATTTATTCCCCGCCTGTGTCTCGGGTCCCTGCCACGGCGGAATTTTGTTTTCCAACCCTGTCTCTGCGGATTCTCTCGGATTCCTACGGATCTCTAAGATTCATATGGAGATCCATAAACACGATTTTCTTTATTTATTATTTTAAATCAAATTAATAGTAAAAATTTTAAAAATTAACCACAACAAAATTTCGAAATTATTTCTTTATGATCAATATATTATTTTAGCAATATTTAATATATAATAGTGAGTGTTATAATCATTAAAATTTTGAATTTAAAAAGTTTAAAATAATCATTTATATCTCACTCTTTTCCTAATAATATATTTATATTTTAAAGTTGTTTATAAGATAAATTATATGAAATGACAAATAAACCTATATAAAAATTTAAAATTATATATACATTATTATTATGATATTTTAGGTGGACGGAGATTCTACAAGACATAATATTTATGTCACTCTCCTTTCCAAAATTATTTGGGAAGACTTTATTCTCCATCTCCCTAAAGAAAAAATTATCCGTCTTTTAAGATTTCAAACGAGAAATTCCTGCAGAGATGAGCATGAAGTTAACTTCAAGTGGAAAATATACTCCCATACATTTAGGCAACGTATTTGTAAGCCATTTGGCAGGGACTTGTTTTTGTCTCGGGCAAAAGTTAGGACCCGAGTCGCTTTCTTTTCCCTCCACCAAACCATAGAACAAAAGAATGGCACTCAAAATCCCATCAACACTTCTCCCTCGTTCTCTCCACTTTCCTCCCCGCCAAAACCCTAATCTCTCACATTTTTCAACCGTTTCTAACCTTCACCTTCCTCTTCATTTCTTCACACCTTCAACCCTCTCAATCTCCGCACTTCACGGAACTCGCCTCCTAACCGCTCGCGCGATTCAAGGTCAAGAACTCACCGGCGATGATCTCTCAATCCCAGCCGAACTTAAAGAACTTGAAAAAGAAGGTGAAGAAGAAACAGTTACACAGAATACGGAGAAGAAATTAGCGGAACAAGGTATATGGATTCAGATGAAGGAAATTATCAAGTTTACAGGACCAGCAACTGGACTTTGGATCTGTGGACCGTTAATGAGTTTAATCGATACCGCGGTTATTGGTCAGGGAAGCTCCATTGAGCTTGCCGCTTTAGGTATTCATGATAGTTATAGCACATTTATGTAACTTATCGCTATGAATCTAGTAGATTTTTTATTGACGATGGTAGCATTTAATAATGAGTAATTTCAGTTATTGTGTTCTTTATTTCCCCGCAGGTCCTGCTACAGTTGTTTGCGATTACATGAGCTATGTGTTCATGTTTCTATCAGTTGCTACTTCCAATATGGTTGCTACCGCACTTGCTAAACAGGTTATTTTATTTGTTTACGAAAATATTGGTGAATATTATTGTTCGATTTAGTGATTGATGTGTATTTCCGAACTTTACTTTTAGGGTTTGGTTAGTGTTTAGTGCATGACATCTTACTAAAAATTTCTTGCACAAGACAGGAACGACACGTGGTTGAAATATATGGTCTGTGTTCTCAAGTATGAGTGAAGTGAATTTACTATGATGTAATGGAACCTTGATCCCTCTACAGCTGCAGCATGATACTGCAGCTGTAGAGGATCCAATGTCAGTGTAATAATGCGCCATAAACTAGGCTGATGATAAATAGTTATTCAAATTTTCTTTACTAATCGATTGGCATGTTTGATCTCTTGCATAACTTGCTTGTAAAGACACTGCAATATTATGACATGTGTTGGCTGTAATGAATTGGACATATTGATTGATTCCATTTGAACATTAATATATTTTATTGCTCTATCTTTGACGGATTTAAATATGCGGTAATGTGATTATCACTGCTTTATCTATTAATATAATTATTTGGTTTGACAAAATCTATATGTTTGCGTAAACTTCAATCTTCATATTTATCATTTTGTGCACTTTTAGGATTTATACTGGTTTTCATTGGTATAAATGTTTGTGTAGGATAGAGAAGAAGTGCAGCATCACATATCTGTCTTGCTTTTTATTGGCTTGGCTTGTGGCTTCATAATGCTTTTGTTCACATGGCTATTTGGTGCTACCACACTCACTGGTATTGAAAATGGAGTGGTTTAGTCTTTTATGCTTTCAACTCATTTTGGATTAGAAGAACTCAATTTTGCTCAAAAGATAAGAGTCAATCCTATAACGGATGATTTTGGTGTTTATGCCCTTTTTCAGCTTTCACGGGGTCAAAGAGTGCACATGTAGTACCTGCAGCTAACACTTATGTACAGGTTTGTTTTTATGTTGTTATGTATCCTTGATTTAAATTACGGCTTAAATTCATGTTTTATATATTGAAGAAGTCACATTGAATTTTATGGAGAAAAGTAATACTAGCCTTCTTCATTTCCATTTTTTGCAAATGTAGATGAAAGTATTATCAGAACTTTCATCACCACGGATAAGAGCTCGTAAAAGATTCCTCTTTATGTTTGTTAATTATTTTATTTTGAAAATGACCAAGTTTTGCTGTTCTTTTGTGCTTGATTTACTGCAGCACATTTTAGTTATACTAAGTCTTTTTTTGTTCTTAGATTCGAGGCCTGGCATGGCCTGCTTTACTTGTTGGATGGGTTGCTCAGAGTGCAAGGTGCAAATTTACCATTTATTACTAATATGTGATTCTCTGATTTGAGAGGTTGAAAGTTTTTATGTCAAAATTGATACTGGGATACTGCTAGAGTCATGGCATTCTGTTTCATGTATCAGAGTTGATGTTATGTTGAAGTACTGTTAAATATAATGGTAGAATTTATCTTCATAGTTGCTTAAATCTCTTGGCAAAAGATATATCGTCTGTTTTTTATTTTCTGAACAAGTATATGCCTTTCCTCTTTCTGGTTTTACTTAATATTTTAAAATCTGAGTGAGCAACCTTTTTTAAATTCCTTTTGCCATTAACCAAGTTTAATATAATACCAAGTCTCAAGTCTCAACACATGCTTTATATGATTTGACTAATATGGTAACTCTTAGCTTATTAATTTTCATTGTTTAATTTAATCTGATATAGTCTTGGCATGAAAGATTCATGGGGACCCTTGAAAGCTTTGGCTGCTGCTAGTGTTATAAATGGCATTGGTGATATAGTTTTGTGCACCTATTTAGGCTATGGGATTGCAGGGGCCGCATGGGCTACAATGGCATCACAAGTATGCTGTACTAACTCTTATGCATCTTCAAATAGTAAATTGTATTTATATATGCTTCCTCCTATTTTCAAACCCCTCCAATGTTAAATACTGTTTCTCTCTTCCGTTACTGCTCCTAGGTTGTTGCTGCATATATGATGATGCAAGCTCTAAACATGAAGGGATACAATGCCTTTGCCTTATCTATCCCTTCGAGGAGGGAACTTCTGACAATTCTTGGGCTTGCTGCTCCTGTGTTTTTGACAATGATGTCAAAGGTTGTGTTTAAGTATTTGACCAAATTCTTTGCTTTATATGAAATATGCTATAGCCTTTTATTGTAACACAAAGTTCCAATGTGTAGGTGGCTTTCTACTCCCTGCTAATATATTTTGCAACATCAATGGGAACACATACAATGGCTGCTCATCAAGTTAGTTTTACTTCGCCCTGTTTCATGACTGATCCTTCCACTGCTTGCTATCTGCACATCTGGAAAACTAATTTCAAGGCTGGTACAACTCTTACTTCAGGTCATGCTCCAAACCTTTAGCATGTGCACAGTATGGGGTGAACCTCTCTCCCAAACTGCTCAATCGTTTATGCCCGAATTGTTATATGGAGCTAATAGGAATTTGTCAAAGGTTAGTGTTTCTCATTTGCATTGTTACCCAATGCCCAATGAACTCCTGCATATCCTCATATCTATAGCTTCTGATCTTTCTTTGCTGTTTTCTTTAATTGGGATATGAAGTTTTATACATTGATACTACATTATCTTTTCTTTATAGTGTTGTTTTATAAAATAACATTCAGTCTCATTTGTCTATCCTTTTTTTAATTTTTATACTATCAACAGGCCCGAATGCTTCTAAGGTCTCTCGCAATAATTGGAGCTACACTTGGATTGTTATTAGGAGTTGTTGGAACTTCAGTACCTTTCTTATTTCCCTACATTTTTACGCATGATCAGATAGTCATTCGGGAGGTCAGTTCTTTTGTTTTTAAATTCAGATTAGATATGAGTGTTGTCTTTTTTGTTTTTATATGATAATCCTTTGTGGTTATGTTCAAAACATGTGGCTGCATTATCAATCTAGTAATAGTAAATCAGCATGCTACTTTCCTTAAGAGCTTATGATTTTAAATCATAATCTGCATGATATAAGCTCCAAATAATCAACAGAGAAAACAAATAGAAATGTGATAGGGAAAAAAATCCTTTCTAACAAAGTGAGACAGTATCAATGAAAAACATAACAAGTACAGAAAATGTAGGAGCTAATGCTCCCGTTCAAGGATGATACCTTTAGCCCCAAGCTACAAACTTTTTTTTTATGGGATTCACACGATCCCTTCTCCCTCCAAACAGATCTAAGATACGTTGGCTCTCTCTCTTCTCTGACTAACTTTCCCTCTAACTTGTTATGTACTGTACATGTTATTACTCCCCTAAAGTGGGCATTGGGTTCTTGTTGAGCCCCTTCCTGTTACTACTCAAGTCGATGAATCTACAAAATGCGCAATTTTTTATGAATCGTAACAGTTGTGGATTCTTACAATAGTTAACTACTTTGTAACCATGCAGATGCACAAGGTGCTGATTCCATACTTTATAGCACTGGCTGTGACACCCCCTACTCACAGTCTTGAGGGAACGTTGCTGGTATGATTATTTCATCTTCTCTATTAATAGGAAAGTAAGCATATAATACTAATATTGCTTTCACCAACTCTTCGAAGATGTTCAAATGAATTTTAACTGTAGCTAATAACTTGCAACTTCTAATTTTTGTATTGTGTAATACTAACATAATCCTGCTGTTCAAACATAAATTAAACTGAACCAGTACTATGATATTATTTGGTCAGAATGATGACTACTGCACGTAGGTTTGATTTCAAGGCGAAAAATATTATAATTGATTGTCTCTGTTGGACATGATTTTAGTACAATTTTAGCTATTATCATGCAAGCTTGATTTTGCCTGCCTACTTTGGTTTGGCTATAAGTTATATAAAGTAATTTTTGCTTTAACATGAAAATTTACACCAAATTTTAGACCAAACTTGCTTTTAGTGTGAAGCCATCTAAACATAAATCACTTAACTTCAAGCTCTCATTTATACCAAATCTACTTTTCAAAATCAAGTTCAATTAAAAGTATGTATGATAATTACATTTTGTCTTCAACAGTCCTAATTGTTTTAAGGTGCTGCTCTAATTAAAGATAGGGCATTGCATGTGTTAGTTGTCAACTACAATTGTATTTTGATATATCGTCACATATGCAGGCTGGAAGGGATCTAAGGTTCATAAGTCTGTCAATGAGTGGATGCTTATGTGGGGGTGCACTAGTATTATTGGTAACGACCTTTCTTGATTTCTTGGGTTACATATGATATTGCTTGACCAATTTTGCTCGGACTGTAAACACCTGCTCGCCACTGGCCAGTGCAAAATAGGGATAATAAAATGTGGAGAATATATTCTTGAATGAATAAACACAACAACAGGGTATTAGTGGGTTAGTTATGGAAGTCATGCTAGTTAGCAAGGAGTTTGGATGCTAACATGAGGGAAATTTTTGTCAATTTTGTGGAACAAGAGTACTACCGATTTACTATTGTTTATATTTTCCCCCTCATTGTGTTCCCTTCCTGCTCATCAATTCTTTGCGAGAAAACCTAACTACCAATATTTCGTGATGCCAGATCTTGTGTAGCAGATATGGTTTGCAAGGCTGTTGGTTTTCCCTTGCACTATTTCAATGGGTAAGAATAAGATCTCAGCTTGCATCCAATTAAAGTATTAAATATTATTGTATCATTACTACTATTTACTAGTTCTTGAAATATTATAATTTGCATATCTTATTTTTTTATAGGCTCGGTTTTCAATAGCCCTCCTGCGGCTTCTTTCTCCCAAAGGCATTTTATACTCGGAAGATATAGACCATTACAGAATGCAAAAGCATAGAACTGCTTAGTCTAGGTACTGGTTAATAGACAAATGTTGTATGTTAGTCGAATTAGTGTTACAAATTAGCCATACGCGATGATTGATTCACATTACATTTACACTATCAAACGATGCAGTGCTAGCAACAGGCTCAATCTGACTCATGTATTATAATTAGTAATAGACCTGCCCAATGCATGGGCGACACTAAAGTTTTACGAGTTCATTAAAGATAATTACAAAACAATGTTACATAATATAGTTGAGTTGTTTTCATCTATCTTAGCTTAATTTTGATGAAGACAACAATTTATCAATGAAAAAAGATCAAAGAAGAAGAAAATTGAAATCAAATATCAAGATAGCATAAGTTTTGGAAATCAAAAGATTGAATCATGAAGTTCAAAGTATCAATGGCAATTTGTTTATATATATATATATATATATATATATATATATATATATATATATATATATATATATATATATATATATATATATATATATATATATATATATATTTGCATTAATCATTTTCAAAGTTGCATCTTTAAGTTAGAAAATTTTCAAAGATTTAATAAGGTCAATCGATTGACATTGGTTTTGTAAAACGATATTTTGAAAAACAAAAGAGGTCAATTGATTTACCTCTTCAATCAATTGGTTCACCATTCCATTTTACTATATAAATCGATTAACAATTTCAAATTAATTGATTAACCTAGTTCTTTTTCTTAAAATTTCAGAACGTTGAGGTTAGGTCAATTGACTGACATCCTTGAGTCAATCAACTTACTTATGAAACATATGAAATTTTTAATCAATGCCATACCTCTTCATCACAATTGGTCATGATATCTTTTCAAAACATTACAAATTCTCTTGATCATTTTCTCAAACATTGTTACTAGTTTCTAATAGCAGAATTTTTCATAGTTTAAATTACCATTTTTCATCTTATTTTTTAAACAATTTATCTACTGTCTCTCTGTGTTTATAATTTTTTTGATAGCACTTTTTTGTGGAGCATAAGATCAAAATTGTTATATTTTGGAATTTAAGCCAAGTTGAAAAGATTATTTAAAGTTGTATTCATAATTTGTATTTTTCCACTAAATGTGTGGTGACATTGTTGTTGGGCTTGGGCTCCCTTCCTATGTGGAGAAAGACCCAAATATGAATAGCCTATTTGTCTCACTTATTTCAGTGGAAAATGTCAATTTAGAGTTGAGAGAAATAGAGAGAAAATAAGGATTTTCGAAAGAGAGAAAAGAAGAGAGAAATTCATTCTCGTTTTTTCTGCACCAGTCTCACTAAATCGACGATCCCTGATTCGTTAGCCATCAGATCGAGCTCAAATATAGAGGGTAGGTTTGCAAAACCTATATCTAACTTTTGACCGTTGAGATCTTTAAAACGAAGTCTGAGTTGAGAGATAATTGCTTAGCACTAAAGCTGCAGATTTGAGTAATTTTTCAGCTTTTTTATTCGTATTTATAAGCTAGTTTGTTTTGTGATTTGCAATTGTTATCACTATTTTGTGAATCACTTTAAGACTCATTTGTACACTCAATTGATTATAGTTGAGCTATTTCTTTGGTCTGGACGATCTGTAGTTTTTACTCTCATATTGATGGGTTTTTCACGTTAAAAATATTAGTGTTCTTTTGTGCCTTTATTTGCTCGGTTTGTCATCTTGTATTTGTTGTTGATCCTCAAAGTTTCTAAAAATGTGGAGAATTTCATATTCAATGCGTATTGTTATGTTACTATTTTGTTTTAATTTCCCATCAGAGTGACACCATAACTCTTGTTTAAGAGCTATTTTACTTGTTTAAATTATGAAGTCAAATACAAAGATTAAGATGGTATTACTGAATGGTTCTAATTTCGTTTATGGAAGGACAAGATGAAAGACTTATTATTTGTGAGGAAATTGCATTTACCGGTTTTTAATTCTTCAAAGTCAGATTTTGTGTCAGATGAAGAATGAGAGTTTGAACATCAACAAGTATGTGGTTTTATTCGACAATATGTAGAAGATAATGTTTATAATTATATTTCTAATGAGACACATGCAAAAACTTAATGGAAGAATATAGAGTCCTTGTATGCCTCTAAATTAAGGAATAATAAGTTGTTCTTGTTGAATAGCTTCATAAGTTTGAAGTATAAGGAGGAAACTTCTATTTCAGATCACTTGAGTGAATTTAAAGGGCTCATTGACCAGATGTTAGGAATGAGTATCAAATTTGAAGATGAACTTTTAAGACTATTTCTATATTTACCAGAGTCTTGAGAGACTTTTTAGATTTCTATTACAAGTTCTGCTTCTAGAGATGTTGTTTTTTTGGAAACAATTAAGGACACTACTACGGAAAAGGGCTACTAAAGCGCTTATTTTGGCCTTTAAAAGCGCTTAAAAGCGCTTTAAAAGCTTGCGCTGGCGTAGGTAACAAAAGCGCTTCTAAAAGCGCTCTGGTAGACCCCCCCTTTAAGAGCGCTTCCTGGAAAAAGCGCTCTGGTAGGACCCCCTATAAGAGCGCTTTCCTGGAAAAAGCGCTCTGGTAGACCCCCCTTTAAGAGCGCTTTTTAAAAGCGCTGCCAAAGACCAGTAAAAAAGCATAAAAAATTAAAAAAAAACGCAGCATACAAAAGCGCTTTTGTAAAAGCGCTCTGGTAGGCCCCCCTATAAGAGCGCTTTTTCTGGAAAAAGCGCTCTTATAGGGGGGCCTACCAGAGCGCTTTTCCAAAAGCGCTTTTGTATGCTGCGTTTTTTTTTTAATTTTTTATGCTTTTTTACTGGTCTTTGGCAGCGCTTTTACTAAGAAGCGCTTTAGTAGGTGGACCTTTAAGAGCGCTTTTTAAAAGCGCTGTCGTTTCTAAATGAGGTATTTTTATGTGCAGCCTATAATTTAATCCTCCCAGTCGACCTGTAATGTTTTCGACCTGTAATATTTTCGACCTGTAATATATTTTTGACCTGTAATATATTTTCGACGCTATTATTTCAGCCATCAGTAAGACAATATATATACTAATATAATACCATTATAATATCCAAAATTATATATATACATCATTACATCAATAATATTATAGTTCAAATCGACACAAATCCTACATGAAAAATTGCTTAATATAATATTGACACAAATCTTCTTTAATTTCTTCCAACTTAAGCTTCGGGTACGCAGCAGCACGGAATTCGTCAAGGTACTACAAAACAAAAACATAATATAAATGATATATTTAGTTAAATGTAATAAATTATATGAAATTATCTTAAGTTATAAATTCATACCGTGAGCGGAATCTCTAATTGATTCGCCTGAAGGATTTCTTTCATGAACCTCAAAACAAAGTATCCGCAATCATGACTGTTTCGCTGTTGCGGACACTACATAATAAAACAAATAAGATTCTATAGTTGTCTTGTTTTACCAAGTAGCATAAATATTATAAGCAAAATTGTGAAAAGTAATGTACCTGCACTTGGATCCAAGTGATGTTGTTCGATTTAGTTCGGGATACCTGTGCGTCCCGTTGACTACGGAACACTTGTATTGATCTAATTATTAAATATATAAAAGCATATGTTTAAATCAATCCCACAAATAAGAAAATATATAAATATACACGAATATATATTTAGAACGATCCCACTTACAAATCAACGATTTCCTTCATAGCCGGATAATTGGTCCATTCACCATTTACCGAATTCAGATAATACACGACTTCTCTTATCGGGTTGATAGCAAGCAGCAACCAGTGTGCTCTATAAATTAAAACAATAGGTTATATGAAAATTTTGCTATACACAAAAGAAACAGAGATTAGATGAACCAAGAATGAGAAACTAACCCTACTGGTCGGGTATTATACGCCCAAAGATGCAGACTTTCTGTATTGCCGGTGGACATGAATCTATCTACTAAGCGCTGTCTAACTGATTCCGGTTCCGAAGCAATTGTCATTCCGCTGCAATGGGCGGAAGACACGAAACGGAATCTGTTAGACAATGCAGTCCCGCGCAACACTCTGTCATACAACAACCTTAAATAAAAACATAATAAACATTAGATTATTTTCATTGAAATGTGTAAATAAATTATATTGTGGGACTAATTAAATAATATATCGGATGAGTGAATATTACCGGATGTATGAGTGCATATTACTGACGCCTAGTTGATCATGGGTAAAAATCTCTTCCAAGTCATCAAATGTAATATGTGACTGGAATTCAATACCGAAGACACTTTCATCCATGTTGATTTCACGTAAACCACCATCCTTCAAATCGGACATATCAACCATTGTTGCGAGTGTCGAACGGTATCGAGGCACAAAAGCACCGCCTTTTTTTGCCGCTTGCTTCGGAGGACCAGTGGGTGGTAAGCTACGAACCTGCTGCGTCACTTGTTGTGACTCCCGAGCGGATGCCTAAAAATCATATAAGTTAGGTAAAATATAAAATCATGCAGATTTAGATTCAGACTATATATTAACACTTTAAATGTACCTCTTTTAGTGATGCAACAGACTCCTCCTCCTGTAAAATCCCTTTACCCTTAATTGCGGGTTTTATAGGAGCAGTCTAAAATTAAAATGTAAAAAATAATTAATAAACGGTTTAGAATTGACATTCGAAAACTAAATGATTCATAATCGTTTTCAGTATACCTCATCACTAATGGTAATGAGCTCCGAGGGCCATGCAACAAATGATCCTATTGCATCTCGCAGCAATGTCGTCTCTGAGACCATGTCAGGTACCGGTAGAATCGCATCACGATCTAATACAACATCCACCGATACTTTCAGGTGTCCATCAGGGAGGGGTCTGTGGTGAAGTAAATCTCCCGAAGTGTTGTGCACTTTTCCCTTGCCAACTAGTCGATAATTCGGTGACGATAAGTATAGTTGGCAAGATGAAATGCCCTAAACAAATAGAAAATATAAAGTCATTATCATTAATAAAATAGAACAGTTTGTAAGGAAAAAAACTTATAATTACCTCGG